ACATTAAAGTGACAATTGTGCTGCATGATACAAATTATTTAGGAATATATTATTGTAATAATGTAATTTGTAAATGATTGATTTATAGTAGTATTGAACTTAGACATTGTAGAAGTTGTACAAGATTTCCAGTGCTTTCATGTTTGACACTTGTTCCCATGGTGATGTTCTGACTTTTGATTATCAACATAATATCATTCCTGATGTGCACTGCATCTGTTTCTTCATTCTATTCTATGGCCACTTACAAAGATTTTTATGATTGATTTTTTATCCAGGGAGGGACCTTTATTGGTGGTTGCATCTGGAAGGGATACCATTTCCACTGCAAGTTCTATAAAACGTTTAGCATCTGACAATGTTTTCGTTGTTCAGGTCTGCAGACTTAAAACACATGTTCTTATATCTAACATTGTTATGTTATCTGATAAGCAATTTATGAACATCTACATAAAATTTCGGGACAACTTATTGGTAGCACTGAGGTGATTTTGTTGCGATGTTCTATGAAGATAATCAATATGAATCAATTCCATAATGCTATATAAATCTTTATACTTCATTCTATTTTTTGGAAGGCATCTTGGTTTTTGTTTTTAATGAAAACTGAAAGGTCAAACTAAAACATAGGCTAATGCTAAAGTTCACCAAGATGAAATTTAGCTTGTAATTTTCTAAAAGTGGGAGTTATAACTTATAAATGCATGATCTTGCCAGGAAAATCACGAGAACTCTTTTCTACTTCTATGCTCTATTTCCCTAGTGAACTTGTCAATCTTTTACTTTTTTCTTCACTTCCCTTATGTTCACCTTCAAGGTTTAAAATTGCAGTTACTATCTTGGCTGCAGTAGCATTGTGGCATTGCGGGCTGATATGGGCCGATTCAGTCCACAATCACAATATTGCAGTTACATCACGAGGTGCTGTCTGCAATTTAAGACCTCACATATATAATCATGGGCTATATATCTTAAAGATGCTAAGTTCAGGTGGATATGCTTGTCCTAGGCTTAATTTTGTCATGAACCAAATCAGCATCCAGTGATACATATGTGCTCTTTTACCCCAACATATGTGTGTATATGTGTGTGACGTTTGTATCAGACATTTAATTTGATCTATTGTAAATGTTTTTATTATGAGGTGCTGTGTTATTGCGCTTGTTTTCTTTATCTGACATTCATTACTATTTTACTTCATACAATCGTCAGCTCTGCATTCTAAACTTGATCTCTTTGGTTGTCCTTGTCCCACGGGCAGATACTACACCCGAGGTTGAGTTTGAATAGGTTTGATATGGTGATTACACCCAAACATGATTATTATCCTTTGACTCCTCAAGGACAGAAACAGGTTCCCCAGTTTCTTCGAAGTTGGATAACCCCCCGTGACCCTCCAGATAGTCATGTGGTATGTATAATGTGCATATGATACGACTGTGATTTACTTTTGAAATACTGGAGAAACTATGATTTTACTTTGTTGTCAATTGCTGAGTGATGTATTATGTGGTAATGTACATTCAGGTTCTCACCATGGGAGCGTTACATCAAATAGATTTTACTTCAATACGTAGTGCTGCTGCTATGTGGCATGATGAGTTTGCCAATGTTCCCAGGCCGTTGCTCGTGGTCAACATTGGAGGACCAACAAGTAATTTCTATTGTGAATTTAAATCATCTGAAATGTCAGTAAAACTAAGAAAATTATTTAAGTTTCATAACTTTGGTGGAAAGAAATTTGATAAAACAACCAAGCCTTAGCCCCTCTAGGTGGAATCAATTACATGGAATGTCATAATGTTCTATTATAAATCATGTTAGTTTTCAAAACATTGTTGTCTAAATCTTTCCTAATTGTTTCAACTATGGTTTTTCTTGGCCTTCCTATATCTCTAGAAAGTAGAAATTGGACTAACTTCCATGTGATCTATTCTCTTCAGTAGGGTTTTAACAATCTCATTCCCACATGCCCAAACCACCTAATGTGCAAATGTACCATTTTTCTATAATAGGAGCTACCCTAACTTTCTCTCTAATGCATTCATTCATATTCTTTCACGTCTATTGTGTCCACTCATCCAACGCAACATTTTAATTTATGCTACATTGAGTTTATTTTCTATTGTTTACATTTTAACGCTCCAAATTTAGTCACATATAACATTACAGGTTTTATAGTTGTATCACATGTACGATAAAATTTAGTAGAAATAAATTTGATAATTTAACTAATTTCCATAATTGATTTAGGAAACTGTCAATATGGTATAGACCTTGCAAAGCAGTTAGCCGCCAGTTTGCTCAATGTTCTTGTTAGTTGTGGCAGCGTGAGAATATCCTTTTCACAGAAGACCCCACAAAAGGTATATTCATGCCTTGAATTTTCATAAAATAAATATCATTGAGAATAACTTCCTTCTCTGACATACTTTTTCTTCCCTCACCTTGGTCTTTAAACAGGTTTCCAATATTATAGTGAAAGAACTAGGAAATAATCCAAAAGTTCATATTTGGGATGGGCAAGGTAAATATTTATTCAGGGTTAGAATATATTATCTATTCAAAGAATTCAACAGACAATATGTAGTTAAAACCTAACAGTAACTTGCAACTTTCAGAATCAAACCTACACATGGGCCATCTAGCCTGGGCTGATGCATTTGTTGTCACAGCAGATTCAGTTAGTATGATAAGTGAAGCTTGCAGCACTGGGTATGCTAATCAAGAAATAATTTTATTTACTTTCTGTTATACAATTATTTTAATATTAGGTTCTATTTTTAAATCACTTGTATATTAGTGTTTGATGCTATACATAGCCGGTCCTAAACCCGTATAAACGATGAATATTGTGTTAGGTTATAAAAAATCAACGTAAAACTTTATCAAATCTCTGATATACTATTCTACTTTTTTAAAAACCCACATGATGGAATTAAGGTTTTGTTGTTGTTCCATTATTAAATCAATTTTGTTCAACCCACAGGAAGCCTGTCTATGTTGTGGGAGCTGAGTGTTGCAGATGGAAGTTCACAGAATTTCACCAATCATTGAGGGAGCAGGGAGTGGTTCGGCCTTTTACAGGTTCTGAGGATGTAAGTTAAATAATGACTTTTGTATCAAATACAAGGTTCAAAATTTATGGTGGAAGAATGTCTGTTTTGGAATTACATTTTGTTGTCAAGTATGTTGTTTTGTAATGCGTGTATATTTTCTTAAATTTTTAGATATCGGAAAGTTGGAGCTATCCACCCCTTAACGATACTGCTGATGCAGCTAAACGGGTTCATGAAGCACTTGCTGTCCGAGGTTGGAAAGTTAAGAATTAGAATACAAACTGAAGTTCACGTTATTCTCCTTTTTGTTTTACTTATTTGTGTAATAGGATTACTTACCCATTTACCTTTTTAGAGGATATTATATATTTCATTGATACCGTGAATAGGAAACACAGAATGTTATCCTTGCAACTTTTTCCACAAAGAAGATTTTGAAATGTAATGCAAGTTGAAGCTTGTCATTGCGGCTTGTAATTTGTGAAGAGAATCTTACAATTTTTTGGGCGTTCTGAAGAATGAGATGAATAAAAAATTGTGTATTTCCATTTTCCTTTCTTCTATTTGGTATCTGTCTATTAATTTGATATTAGCACTTTCACTTACACTCCTACTAGGAAGTAGGAACCTGAGACGAATCCTTTCTTTTTGAGTTGGAGCAAATGAGTTTTGTTAATTAGAAGCTTGAATGGATGCTGCCAACTTGCCAAAATATCAAGTATCTACTCAATCTCAGTATGAATTATGAAGGTGGTATACTGATATCCTTACATGAAGAATTGACATAAGTTGCATACTTATATTAATATATGATCGAAACTTATCATGAAATGAAAATTATGATTAGTTCTTATTTCTAACATATTTGGAGACCTCAATCTAAGACTATTAGTCACGTTGGATCAATTAGGACGCGCTATCATTGATTCCCCCTAAGTAAACCTCAATTATTACTTATAGATGTCTTGATTTTAAATTAATATTCATGATCATCTCAATCATATATCATGATTTAATGGTTAGATATACAAAATTTATTTTACATTTATTTATATAAGTGGATCCACATCCTTTACCAATCAAATGAATTTACATAATGGTGCCGGTACATGCATATGTGTCTCTTAAGATTAAATATGAAAGTTTTTTTGGCAAGGTGGAGGTGGTTCTACCAGCAACTCATGAGCAATCAGATATGAAGACACTGCCATGGTTTCCCACAACATGCATCACTCACTCAAATAACTTACCCATTCACTGAATTCACATTACATACTACTACAACTCTATTATGTTTGTGTATAATTATTACCTTTTAGTTAATAAAGCTATTTCTCAATCACAATTAGGTTGTTGCAATATAGACTTCATTAAGTAAACTAACATAGATTCATATAGTAAATTTCAGTCTCATTGACTGCACTAAGACAGATTTTATGTATGTGGTTATAAGACAAAGACTTTTATGAATGTATTAACATACATTATAGAATCTTATATTAGTTCTCTCTAGTTCATTTACTTTACTTTTCTCATTCATATATAAGCAGGTTTTTTGTGGTTTCAAATGGGGTAACCTTCTCTTATGTGTGCATTATTCTCTTTCCGCTTTGGTTCTTAAAGGGAATTGACTTCATCATTCTTCCTTAATGCATGATATGATCGATGATAGTGCTGTGGTATTGTTGAAAAGTGAAAAAAGATGTTTATAAGTATCTGTGTATAAAATGTTAGGCGATCTGAATTCACTCAATTCCGTGTAAGTGGTGTATATATTATATTAACTATTTTTATTCCATCGGTATTGAAATTTGAAAAGAAATAAAGCAGAGTTAGATCACATGTTTACTGGTTTAACTACCAAACTCGTGATAAGTCCCACATCGTAGAGTTTCATATGAAGTATATACTTTATATATGGTTCAACTAGCGTATTTGTTCGCCGAGCTGAGTAGCGTTAGCTTGTGACCCAAGTGGGGGCAATAACTTGATGGGACAAGTACATGGTTTCGCTTGGCTGGGCTTGTGTTGGCTTTACGTGGCCTGCCTACTCCAAGTTTAGAGTTGAATTATGGGTCTTGGGCTTAAGCTCTGGTCTCATGGTTCCTAGACTGGAGGGCAATGCGTGAGGCTGGTTTCACAGAGCAGCGAATACCTCCGGCTCTTAACAGTGGAGGGATAACGGGCCACTGCTTCTCAAGCCCGCAATGGGCCTGGTGATCCTGTTGTTTGAACCATCATTTTTTTTACTTAATTTTGTATATTAATGGTATTTTCATTATAAGAGAGTACACACATTTCATAATAATAACTCAGATTCTTTATAAAAAATTCCAATTCATTACACAAAATGGTGGATTCAAAACTAAGGTGGACAATTTTCTTTGTTGTCAAAAGAAAATTGTGTCCCAGATATATAAGTGACAGAAGAATAGTCAACAGCATATGTGTTATTCCATTGGCATGTCAAACTTGAAGTAGGATTGTCCCAATTTTTCCTCTCTTTCTCTGTTACTTTTTCTTGCACAAGTTTGTAATAGAAAAACATATGTTCCTGTTAAACAAATCAAAGTTTATGTAAAAACAAAAAATACAATAATAGTGGTCAATGAACAAGTGATGAACTCACACTATCTTGATTTCCCCACGATGAAATTGGTCTTATATGACGATCCATAATCTCTCTTGTTAGCCCATCATCATAAATTGCCATTAGAGTTGCTGCCATGGCAATAAAGATTGGAGATGATCCTTCATCCATGAAATCAACATCTATAAAAACAATAACATAAAAAACCATTAGGCACATCCACCCTTTTTTAAGTAATGGTTTCCGAAACTTTGAAAACATTTTGGTGCTTACAATTATGGTCGTAATACGGTTTCGACCTAGATTTTAAACCTTCGATACAACTTAAACATGATTATTTTGATAACAAAATATGGTCCATTGCATGAGAAATAGTATTTGTAAGTACGAATGTATGCAACCTTATCTTTATAACCTTACCTCTATTATCTAGATTCTGACGGACAAACATGATTATTTTGATAAGTAAATTACCTTTTGCTATGGCCAGAATGTATTGTTGAGCTTGAGAGATAATTGGTTGTGGTGGGCAGTGAGGGGAGAGAATGCAGGCAAAGTAATAGAGATAATCAAATGAAGTAGTCATGATGTGCTCCAAAATGAGCCATGAATTCAATGAGTGAAGGCCAATATTTTCATTATCAATATCTTCACTAAACAAGAAGCTTGTGTCTTCATGACACAAAAGGGTAGATAGAGAAATGGAAGTAGTGTCTTTATCAGGGTTATACATTTTCACTTCTAGTTAAGATGCAATGAAGAAAATCAAGATATAGATGGAAATCATTTTAAGGCACTGTGGGTTGGTGGCACTAAAAGAAGACAGAGTGGAGGATTTAGTAGGAGTAATAGCATTATTATATTGCCAACTTGGTGTGATTGTGATATATGAACAAGTGATGAGTAAATGGGTGATTGGAGGAAGAAATTATTAGGTTGAGCAGTGTATATATATATGTTATGGCACTGAATATGGGACCTGATTTCTATCACTCCTTCTTTATTCCTTTACATTTTTACTTTATTATTGTCACTTCTTATAAATGATATAAAGTGCATCTCAGTTTGACATTTTCCCCACCTTGCCAAAGTTCAATATATACTAATATAAAGGTCTTTTTAGTAGTAACTACTAACTACCTTGGTTGTTTGGATGGTAATAAAACTTGGGAATTGAAAATACTATTTAGAGTTTTCAAAAAAGCCACATGACAACTTAAGAAAAATGTTTTATGTACATCATACACGGGACAAAAAAATGTTATCCTTTATATTTTGGGGTGTTTTTTTTATACATGTATAGATAAAAAAAATTATTGAGATAATTTAACTGTCATATGAGAATATTATCAAATCTTGTTAATCAAATGATAGTACTCCTTAAGAAATTCATAAATCATAATGGTAAATATTTTTTTCAGGATCAGTACCATCAAAGCATTTTGAATTAGCAATTGCTTATAAGCATATTATTGAAAGAAAATATGTAAACATTGCAGCCTATTTATCTAATCTAGAGTCATATCAAAACTCTTTGGTAGGAGACAAACAGAACAATTAGGCAACAAACTTCATCATTTAAAGCCTAATATTAATAATGTGTATTATTCTAAAACCCATCACAGATTAAAGCACATCTTATAGTCCAAAGAAAAATTCACAGATTAATCACCCCCAATGAATAATCAATGAAAACAAATTCAAAGCCATGAAAGATTAATGCAACAGATTTATGCAGTAAATAATGCATGAAGTTATTGAAGTAAAAAATCATCCTTTAAGCTGGTATAAACATTGAGAACCTGGTGAAATGATGAGTTCCTATTTAATTATATTAGCAGTAAAAAAGAAACAGCCCTAATCAACTTTCTGAAAATAGTTACAAAAGTCTCACATGGTAGCTCCCTCACAGCATAGCTGTCATGTACATTAACATTGTAAGACACAAAAAATAAAAGTAGTTGAAAGCATAAGCAATGATGAGAGTAAGAAATAATAGTGTGTTTAGGTACATCATATAGTGGCAATTAACAAAGCTATTGATTATAACAGACTTTGAGTTATTGAGCCCATAGATACAGCTAAGCTATGACCAATATATCTACAAAACTTCATCCAACTCCCAAACAAAACTGTGATTTTTATTAAGGCGGGTGGATAAAAATTAATTAATTTACTTTTGGGAGGACCTGAAGAAGGTACATAATGAAAGTGAGGGGTACAATAGTGCTGACCAACTCTTAATAAGTAATAAATATTACTTTCTATATTGCTAGTTCCTAGTTCCTACTAATACTTGTACATGATTCTTTTAGGCTATAATGTGTTAAGTTTATTGAAAGAACATGAAGACATGGTTGTCAGATACGTTATTAATTTTTTAGAACATTGACATACTATTGTCTTGTAACTTAGATTTAGTTAACAGTGGTGCTTCTTATTTGTATACGATAACTGTCATTATCGATAATTAGTTCTTTCTGTTGGAAACTTTGTTGGGTTGTATCTTTAATGCATTCTTTTATGATCATGTTTGGTGATTTCCTCCGTATTAAGGTCCATGTTGATAATGCAATTCTGTTTCTTGACAACCTTTACTAAAATCTTTATTATGTATTAAAAACTTCAAATTTGAAGTGACATAGACATCCATGACGGGAAAGAGAACGGCAGACAGATGTATGGGCTAAATTTTCAATTATGGTTAAGTTCCATATTTACATAATTACTATTGTTAGCTCAATTGAGCTTTTAAGTAAAATGTAAATGATATTAAAACATTTAACACTAATAGTAAAATGAAACCCTATTTTTTAAGCTGGTAACGTATGGTCTTTCTTAATCAGTAGGAAAACTTCACATTTTTTAGAGCTACAATTCAAACTTAAAACTTGGATCAACTTGAGGATTCAAATTTCTAAGTTCAATAGATAATTAAGTGATCTCCGATCAGGCAAATTTATATTTGATAAATTAACCAAACAATCTTCTTTTATTGTGCCAAGACATGAGAACCTACGATGAGCATTGTTCACAACAATCCTTTCCTCTGCAAAAATGCGCTAAATAATACAGCCAAAAATATCAAAACTTGATATCCTTAACTTAGCACAGCCAAAAAAAAAAGAAAGAAAAACATGCTGATTCTAACCGCTAAACCAACCAGCTTTAACAATTAACACGAGTAATCAAATCCTCTGAAGAGCTTTTTTCATTGAAATATTCCTCCTAAAACACTATTTAATTTATAATTAGAACCTGGGAGCAAGATCCTGTCTGTTACTTAGGCAGTTTTCACTTTTCGAGAGGGTGGCCGCCTAAATATACTGATTAAATCATCAAGACCCTGTAAAAATAGCATCAGAGTTTTAGTGCACTCGAACTACTTATCTAAAGGGTAGCAACGGATGTTAGGTAATTAATATAGGTACCCACCCTTGTTGTGATGACCAAGAAACTGAAGAGCACAATCAAATACGATCCCAATACAAGAAGCAACAGTAAGTCAAATGTGACACTGGCAACCTGTAAAACATAAAAATAATTACTTTAAACCAAGTAGACCATGAATTTCTACGCCAAAAGTACTATTTCAAATGAACAAATTTTGTTGGCTGTAAAAATTCCCTCTTGCACAAGGAAGTGAACATTTCAAAGAAGCAGGTGAAAGTTAGTCAAATAACCGATAATTTGATAACATATAAGTAATAAACGGGACGGAATGATAATTGTCAAAGCAAAACTCTATCATACAAGACCCATATTTGCTTCAGCTGTGCAGAACAGGGAAATGCTGAGAAGTGCAAATAATCTCAAACACTCCACATACCATACAAGGTGAAAAGAAAATAACATCAAATACCTGATAAATGTTAAGCTTTGCTCTTGTTGAATCATAGAAAGTGAACATCCCATCTAGCACGTCACGATGCACATTGACCTCATCTGTGTGTTCTTCTAATTCCTAAAAACATATGGGACACTTAGGTAAGCACACAAGAGTGATGAAAAAAGGTAGGCATCATCAAATTCAACTCGGGGTATCAGGGGGTTAAGAAGGAATGAGCACCAAGTCCTTAGCCATAGGTTGTCTTCTTACTCCAGAAACATTGCTCAATATTAGCACTTAGAAATAAGCCCAAAGCACACCCAATCGCTTGTAATAAAAAAATACTTAGGACATTCTTGTGTTGCAGCAGACATCTTTAGCTATGGGTAATTGAAAAAAACAGACAATGATACAGCAAAAAATTATATACCTTTTTAAGCGACGCAATGAAAGGGTCATCTTTTGAGAAAAATGGTGCCACTCGAGATGTTTGGGAGAAAAGATCTAACCATGATCGAACATATGAAGGATTTACAGCTAAACTACTGTTGTCCGCAAAGATTTGGATGTTCTTTCCTTGATGTCCGTAAATATGGCTCTGCAGAAAGTATATCAGAAGACTTGCAAAGAACTTGGCACATAAAGAAATATGTAATAAAGGCTTTCTGTTGCAGCAATAGATAATGGAAACTCATGTTTATTTGAAATATATGTATTTTCTTGTCTGGCCTATTTCTTCGAAAACTTAATCTTCAATGAACAATGGTGTAAGGGTTCATGGACATAAATTGAACCATCATAGAAACTTCAAAGCATTCTCTCATCGTCT